TTTCATGATAAAAAAAATATAAAAATAAATTATAAGGAAAAAAAAGAAGGCAAACGCTGGTTGGGACTACTTGTTTAGGCCTCGCTTGAGCCCGTTTCTAAAGGCCGACCCTATAAAAAAGAAAAAAAAAGAAAATGCTTCTCCGAGCCAGCTCTAAAAAAAAAAACTACGATAAAATGAGCCGGACCAAGTACTAAAAAAAAAATAAATAAAACACTACGGTAAATGAACAGGGAAAACCCTAGTTCTTTTAGTTTTTTTTTTAGAATAATTATAATATCTAAAACGCACTTCTAGCTCTCTCTTTCTCATCGAATTTATATATGCAACAACGTCATTTTCATTAAAAAATCATAAAAATAATCAATCATATAAATTATAATAATATATTTATAAAAAAAATAAAACAATCAAGTTCTAAAATTTTATTTCAAAAGCCATATATATAAAAAAAACAAATTTATTAACAAATAAAATCATATAAAATTTAAAAATTAATTCAATGAGAATTTTAATAAGAAACAAACAACTCGAAGAAATAAAATTTAAATAATAAAAATAATATAATCACAAATATATGTTCAAACTAATTTTTTTTAAAAAAAATCATATATATTCTATTACTCGTCAAACTATACGTAAAATAAAAAAATAAAGATATTTTTTTATATTTTCACACCTAATTTCGTGATAAAAATATTAAAAAATTATTTATATATAAAGGGAACAACTCGTCATCTAATATTTAAATAAATCATTTATTAATAAATATTATATTATTATACCAATATATTTAAAATAATATTTAACTAATACAATGTAATATTAATTTAATTATATGGTATAATTATCAAATATATTATATTACTAAAATACTTATCAAATTTAATACATATTCAAATTCATAAAATAATATATCAATAAATTATTTATATAATAATATAAAATAAAAAAATATATATTATATAATAAATACAATATTCACAATCAAAATACAAACAACTATTTTATAATAATTATTTGATATTTTTTTGTAGAATATAATGATAATATATTATAATTATTAACTATAAATAATTTTATTATTATAAAAAATATATTTCTAATAAATAAGGGCCTAAATAATATATATATTTGACTATATAATAATAGTCCTACAAATATAAAAACTGAAAAAATAATGAGGTTAGACGTTATAAAAAAAACAAAACAAAAAAACACCGCATAAATATAATATTCACAATTAAAATACAAATAGCTTTTTTGTAATATTTATTTGATATTTTTTGTAAAATATAATGATAATTTATTATAATTATTAACTATAAATAATTTTATTATTTTTAAAAAATATATTTGGAATAAATAAGGACCTAAATAATATATTTGACCGTCTAATAATAGTCATACAAATATAGAAACTGAAAAAAAGGAGGCCGGGCGTTTAAAAAAAAAAAAAAAACAAAACAAAAAAGCACTACTATTGTTTTGTAAAATATAATTATTAACTATAATAATAGTCCTACAAATACTTTAATAGTTGAAAAAGAGGATAAATTAGTCAACAAATTATATTACCTCCAAGACAATGCAGATTGCATAGTCTATTCATTGGAGAATAGAGAAGAATGCATGAGTTAAGACGTTAATATATATCATTGGATCTGGAAGAATGAACAATGTTAAAAAAAATAAGGGGAACTACTACGGTAAATATTATATTATTATACCAATATATTTAAAATAATATTTAACTAATACAATGCAATATTAATTTAATTATGTAGTATAATTATCAAATATATTATATTACTAAAATACTTATCAATTTTTATACATATTCAAATTCGTAAAATAATATATCAATAAATTATTTATATCATAATCTAAAATAATAACAAAATATTAAATTCTATAATAAATACAATATTCACCATCAAAATACAAACACTCGTTTTATAATAATTATTAATCGTAAATAATTTTATTATTTTAAAAAATATATTTTTAATAAATAAGAGCCTAAATAATATATTTGACCATATAATAATAGTTCTACAAATATAGAAACTGAAAAAAAAATGAGGTCGGACGTTAAAAAAAAAAAACAAAAAAAAAAAACACCGCATAAATATAATATTCACAATTAAAATACAAATAACTATTTTATAATATTTATTTGATATTGTTTTGTAAAATATAATGATAATGTATTATAATTATTAACTATAAATAATTTTATTATTTTAAAATAATATATTTCGAATAAATAAGGACCTAAATAATATATTTGACCGTATAATAATAGTCCTACAAATATAGAAGCTGAAAAAAAAAGAGGCCGGGCGTTAAAAAAAGAACAAAACAAAAAAGCACTACTATTGTTTTGTAAAATATAATTATAATATATTATAATTATTAACTATAATAATAGTCCTACAAATACTTTAATAGTTGAAAAAAGAGGATAAATTAGTTAACAAATTATATTAGCTCTAAGGCAATGCAGATTGCGAGTCTATTCATTAGAGAATAAAGAAGAATGCATGAGTGAATAAGTTAATATATATCATTAGATCTGGAAGAATGGATGACGTTAAAAAAAAAAGAGGGGGAACTACTACGGTAAATGAAAATGGCCGAAAGGATAAAAAAAATTAGTTTTCAAACCGAGATGGAATAATTAATTTATTCCCCAAAGAATTAATTTTTTTTTGTTTTTTTTCTTTTTCTTAAAAGAAAAAAATAAAAATAGTAAAATTGTGAAAAAGAGAAAAAAATTAGTTTTCAAACCAAGGAACTAATTAATTTATCTCTCAAAGAATGAGGGACCAAGATGCGGAAAAAGCATGCATTTGATATTTTTTGTAAAATATAATGATAATGTATTATAATTATTAACTATAAATAATTTTATTATTTACACAAAATATATTTCGAATAAATAAGGACCTAAATAATATATTTGACCGTATAATAATAGTCTTACAAATATAGAAACTGAAAAAAAGGAGGCCGGACGTTAAAAAAAAAACAAAATAAAAAAACATTGCTATTGTTTTGTAAAATATAATGATAATATATTATAATTATCAACTATAATAATAATCCTACAAATACTTTAATAGTTGAGTAATAGGATAAATTAGTCAATAATTATATTACCTTCAAGGCAATGCAAGTTGCAGAGTCTATTTATTGAAGAATGGAGAACAATGCATGAGCGAAGAAGTTAATATATATCATTGGATCTGGAAGAATGGATAGCGTAAAAAAAAAAAGGGGGGAGACTACTACGATAAACGAAAATTGTCAAAAGGATAAAAAAAAAATTAGTTTTCAAACCAAATGGACTAATTAATTTATTCCTCAAAGAATTAATTTTTTTCTATTTCTTAAAAGAAAAAATAAAAATAGTAAAATGGTGAAAGAAAAAATAAAAATAGCAAAATTGTGAAAGGATCAAAAAAATTAGTTTTCAAACAAAAGAGACTAATTAATTTATCTCTCAAAGAATAAGGGACTAAGATGCAAAAAAAACATGCATAAATATGGACTTTTAGTGTGTAGCTATAATGAATTGATAGGAGCAACCCCATTTCTTTTTTTTTTTTTTTTTTACTCAAGGAATCGAATTATACTTGTCCAGATTTTCTTATCTATCACACTACTTTTTACTCCTATGAGTGGAACGACAAAATATTGAGGATTGTCAAATATTAAATAATTTATTTTATATTTAATTAGAGGATTGTCAAATATTAAATGATTTATTTTTAAAATGAGAAATACTGATTAATGCGTTTCTCAAAACCGGATAGACTAATTTATAATTTATTCAAAAATTGCTAGCAGTAATTTAAAAAAATAAAATAAAAATCAATTATTATTGACTGAATGAACTTTGATAAGTTTCCTTATTAATTTCTTACATCACTTCTAAGATATCATCATTTAAACATTTTATTTGTCTAATCCAAGAGTAAATATGGAATCATCTGATCAATTCGAGAGTTCATTCGACAAACAATAATAATAATTATTATTTTTTAATTCTTGCCAATTATTTTCTTTGATAAAAGTTTTATAATTTTCTTATTACTTCTTCTTAATAAATTCAAGTGACACTTATTTTTTACCACGTATTAGTTAAATATCGCCGGTTGTAAATGAATGTCAACCACATCGGTATTTTTCAGTTTCGGATCACTAAAAGAATTCAAATAATAATAATAAAAAAAAATCAAATGTTGAGCATTCAAAAAAATAAAAATAAAAATAAAAACCAAAGATTATGCACTCAAATTGTTTTTTTTATATGAATAATTCAAGTGAGATTTTTTTTTACCACGTATTAGTTAAAAACTGTTTTATGAAATTTCATAAGACACATCAATATTTTTTAATTTCAACTAATTACATATCAAACAAAAAAATTAAATAAAAAATTAGATATTCAAATAAAAAAAATTGAAAATTGAACTCTCAAATTGCAGTTTTCTCTATTGATAACTAAGAGTAAAGTCTTGTTCCTTGTCTTTTAGAGTAAGAAATTTCATTTAGTATTTATTAATAAAATCATTTTAATAAATATGATGTTTTAAAATGGAAGGGCATTTTTATCGAATTAAAAGTTTCATATATATATATATATATACACACACAATGTTTTCCAATCCTTTTTAACTAAAAATACAAATAATGGACCAGTTGTAGGCTAAAACCGGAAGTTGTGAAAAAATAGGGCAAGAAGTTGAGGAAAAGCAGAAGTGAATTGGGAGCGTCCAGTGAGAGAGGGCAGGCCACAAAAATGAATTGAATCAACTTGTTATAATTTATTAGCTATTAGCTTATATTAATAATAGACTCGCATTATTGGAAAAAAAAAGAAAAAAAAAAGAAGCAAACTGTTATATCTCTGTTGTAGATGCAGATATAGAGAGATTTGGAGAAGATACAGGGGAAAAAAAGAAAGGGTGAGAAATTGGAGAGAGAAAGAGATGTCGGACCTCGACAGACAAATAGAGCAGCTGAAGAAATGCGAGCCATTGAAGGAATCGGAAGTGAAAGCTCTTTGCCTCAAAGCTATGGAAATCCTCGTCGAAGAGAGCAACGTTCAACGCGTCGATGCTCCCGTCACTGTATTTTTTTCTCTTTTTTAATGTCTTCCTCTTGTTTGTTATATGATATGAAAGTCTGCGCCTATTATTACACTTTTTCCCCCTAATATTCTTCAACTTTAGTTTCATTATAAGTTGTTGTTTTACTAGTATTATTACTCTTTTTTTTTTTTTTTAATTGAAATACTGGATTCAAAATTAGAATTTAGGGTTTTCTTTTTTCTTCTTTTGAGATTAGACACTCCACTCATTAAGTTTTCTAGCTTTTATTTTGAGATTTCTTACTGGTTTAATATGTATTTGAAAAGCTTTTTACTCCCTTGATAAATATATTATTAGTTTATTATGACTTTCCTTGTTCAGCATTACTTGTATACATAATTTAAGATCAATGAGGAGTTATGTTTCTTTTTAATAGGTATGAGACTTGAAAATTGTTAGTATGGAATCTGTAATCATGAAGTCGTAAAATGCCTTTTCTTCTTTTGAATATGAAATAGGAGACGTGTTAAGGTTTTCGCCATTCTAGGCTAATTAATTAGACGTTTACAGAATTAATTTTGCATCTGTTGTGAGTCTGCATTTTCATTTTCTTGTGTCGAGACTCTATTTAAGGTAGCAGCCCCTGCTTAACGGCAGAAGATAATTTTGAACAAGAACCTTTGGGTCAGGATGCTCTTTGGTGCAACTAATGTATCCAGTAGGTCGGCATTCAGTCGTCTTAGGTTGAGTTTAGTTCCAAATGATGCCATAATTTTGGTGAGCCAAACAATGAATTTAGTTTCAGATGCATCTGTTATGACTTTATTATGGGTCGTTTGGTATCATTTCTGTTTTTTTTTTTTTTTTTTGCAAAAACATAAAAAACAACAATCGCTTGTCTAATTTTTTCACAACCAAATAAAGTGGTTTTCAAAAATTATGACTGTGGTTGTTGGTTTTGCTTTTTTCAATAAGAAAAACTCAAAAGAATCAAGTTTTCTATTTATGTTTCCAAAATTGGAGAACCTAAACAGAAAATGGAAACTGAAAATGATACCAAACAATGCCTTAGTTCTTTAGCTTGCTTTTTTAATGTTATTATTGAATAGAATGAATGACATCTTGTTTCTAAACCCAAAAAATGGTTGTTCCTACTTCAAATTATAACAATAAAATTTCTGCTTCAAATATCTTAAAATGAGGAACGATCAAGAAGAGTATTTTGTGATTATTTTTGTCTGGGTAATTTAAAATCATATAGGTTGCTTATGCTGTACATTTAAAAGGATATTATTCAGTGAATGTTTTGTGTCTGGATGTGTGGGAGTAACATTTTAGATTATCATGGGGAAGTAAGTTTTCACCCCATTGTATATTAATGTTATGTTGCCTACTTTGTCTGAGAATTTATTGGTATGTTACTTTGTGGTGTTACTATTATTCTTAACAATGACAAACTTCTTCACATGCTTTTGTTTTTTTTTTCAAAAGATTTCTTTTTAGAGTCTAATTTATGTAGAACCGTCTAAACAGGGCTACTTGGAAGTGTTTCTTCTGTATACCAATGTTGTTTAAGGTTTTGAATTCTGTACTAAGACTAGTCAATTTTTTTGGTGCATAGATATGTGGAGATATCCATGGACAGTTTTATGACATGAAAGAGCTTTTCAAAGTAGGAGGGGATTGCCCAAAGACCAATTACTTGTTTCTTGGAGATTTTGTTGACAGAGGATTTTACTCTGTTGAGACATTTCTGCTTCTATTAGCGCTTAAGGTACATATTATTATTGCTTGGAGTTTAAGGTACTCTGTTGAGAAATGCATGCTTTTATTATTATGGAGGTTCTTATACTCTCTATCTACCGATACACGACATTTTTTAACTAAATGTGTTCTAATTTTCAACACCTCCTTTCTCTTTGAAAAATTTCGTGGTCAAATGCCATTAGAGCCGCTTCCATAGTATGTCACTTTTTAGTAGTAGTTTCTGGATAGATTGTAATAAAAATTAAAATCAATTCATATCATGATATATATATATATATATATAAACCTCTTCTCGTTAGACCATAATTACAGTTCAGAGGAGTGTTACAATTTGATGCTGGTGTGAGGTGTGTGCACCGTCCGACAGATCATGAGTACAATGTAATTGGCTTAAAAAATCATGCATAAATTGGCAGTTAGTCTAAGAATTTGTTTCTTTTTTGCAACCTAAGAATTTCTTATCAAAAAAGCTAAAAGTTAAAAACCCATTGTAGCAAGATAGTGACTATAGTAAGGTCCTATCTTCAACTTTGTGACTTTTCTGGAGGCATAAGCCTTTTGTAAATTAATGCTAGGATAGCTCAACAGAAACCAAAATTGACAGTCGCTGTTAAAAAGCTTCCTGAACAGTAAACAATCAATTCAGTAAATGACATTTTGTAGTAGCAGGAGCAGTAAAAGAAAGTTTAGTACTAAATGGACTAAGGACAGAATGCATTAAGAGATGGGAAATTATGTGTAATTTTGGAGTTAAAAAGCCCTGGAAGTACAAAATTTGACATCAATGCTCCAGATTTATGAAGACCTTACCAGTAAAAAATGAAGCTGGATTCATTGATCTACTCAAAACTTGAAGCTAGAGGTCAATGAGAAGCAAACCTAATCACCTGATGATCTCATCATCTTTCTCTTATGCTAATAACTTTTGTATTATCAGGTGAGATATCCAGATCGGATAACACTCATTAGGGGGAATCATGAGAGCCGTCAGATAACACAGGTTAGGTTTCTTGTTAGTATTCTTGTCAACTTCTATTTGTTAAAGATTTTGACATTCGTTCTTTCTTCACAGGTATATGGATTTTATGATGAGTGTTTACGTAAATATGGATCAGTGAATGTTTGGAGATATTGCACCGATATATTTGATTATTTGAGGTATGAAACAATTTAATCCAAAAATGAGGGGTATCAGGGAAGGGGGAGAGAGAGACCTAGGGGTTGGGGGATTTTGTGGGGGTGGGGATGTGGGTGCGTTGCTATAAAATCTAGTAACTGTGGAGTTACAGCTGATTTTCTATGGGATGGTTAGACTGGATATCCCAACTGATGATTGCCCAGTTTGCCATCTAATCATGGGCATTCATGTAATGTTCATTGTCCAATTGGCTGTTGTGTGGTACAATGGTACTTCTGTAAAGAGAGTTGCAAGTGTGTGAAAGCTATAAATTTTCTGATGGCAAAATTCATTCTGTGCTCTGCTTCTTTTCTGTCATGTCAGATATCTGTATTCAATTTCTATCTGGTCCTGTTGACAGTCAGATGGCAGTGGGAGTTATTGACAAATCACTTGCACAATTTTTATTAGACATTAATTTTACCTCTGTTCGTTTTTAACCTAGTCACCATGATTTTAAGACTTAATTGTTATCAACATAACAGTTGGAGCCCTGATTTTAATGTGATTATATTATGGTGGGATTGGGATAAAGTGTTAAAGCTTTCTTTTCAGCTGTCCCGTGTCATAACATAGCAAACTGAGAATCATCTGATTCTGACTAGTGAGGTGCATGCTATTTTTTAATCAGACTTTAGTTTACCTTGTGTCCCTTTGTAACACAGTCCTGACTTATCTAGGTCGTGATAGTTATCTTCATTCTGATGGGTACCCTGGTTTGACTGTTCTTATATTTTGGTAGGATTGGAAGAAAGTATTAAAGCTTCTTTCTTTTCCACAGTTCAGTGCCATGTTAGAATGATAGAGTTTTCCTTTGATGTGATTCAATGTGGGAATGAGTACTACTTGCCTCACTGGCAGAAAGTGAAGTTTGGTGTTGACAAGTTTTCAGTTATATGTTTGTTTTGCTATATCACTGTAACTTCCATGGACCATAAAAAATCAACTTAATCGTCTCTTATCTTTCATTCCTTTTCTCCCCATTTAAGATGCTTCCAACAAAATATTTCTGTTCTAATTGCGATGTTGGTTTATCAGTCTGTCAGCACTCATTGAGAATAAGGTTTTTAGCGTCCATGGTGGTCTCTCTCCTGCTATATCAACATTGGATCAGGTTGAAGAATCCTCCAGCTTGTTTTTCTTTTTTCCTTCACCGAAGATTGTTGTAAGAAACTGCTAACACAACCCATTTTCCAGATCCGAACAATTGATAGGAAGCAAGAAGTACCTCATGATGGTGCCATGTGTGATCTTCTGTGGTCAGATCCTGAAGATATTGTTGATGGTTGGGGGTTGAGTCCACGTGGTGCTGGTTTTCTATTTGGTGGCAGTGTGGTCACTTCTTTCAACCACTCAAACAATATTGATTACATATGTCGTGCTCATCAGTTGGTGATGGAAGGGTATAAGTGGATGTTCAGGAACCAAATAGTCACTGTCTGGTCAGCTCCAAACTACTGTTACAGGTAAATGAGCATGTAAGATTCTCCCTTTTGTTTGTTCAATGGTAATGGTTTTCCCCCCTTTGAATCTGTTGCAGATGTGGTAATGTTGCTGCAATACTTGAGCTGGATGAGAACCTTAACAAGCAGTTTCGTGTGTTTGATGCTGCTCCACCGGTTTGTACTAACAATCTCCAGGAATTGATCTGAAAACATTTCTAAACAAATGGCTCTGGCATTTGGTCATCTATGGAACAGCATTAGCAGATTTTTGCATATTGCCATATAATAGTGTGTGTACATCTTGGATAATCAGCCCACAAATCCAGTTGCATGAAAAATTGCCTTTATGTTAGAAGAATTTCCAAGAATGCATATGCCATGTAATGTAATTAAATCTGAAAAGGGTTGGGATAAAGTATCGCGAGTTTTAGAAATGTGCAAGGAAACATGAAAGGGTGCTGGTTTTGGGTGCTGCCTCTATACATTGTCAATATGGTTGTAGATTATGTAATGTGCCCTGACAAGTTCAAATGAATGCAGGAATCTAGAGGTGCACCTGCCAAAAAGCCAGCCCCTGATTACTTCTTATGATATTTATTACGTGAAGTTTTGTCACCTGGACACGTGAATTGATGCAGAAGAAAATTTATGTTCAAGAAATATCTGACACAAGGTGAAATTACTAGGAAGGTTTACCCAATGATCGACTCTTGAAATGATCAGCAAGAGTTGTGCTTTTGCTCTTTTATATGTTTGGATTATGGGGTTTGCTTTTCTTTCGCATCCACTTTCACCATTTTCTAGATGTTTCTGGGTAGTAGTAATGTCTTATGCTATGTGCGATTGGGTGATGGAATATGGGACCCCCTTCCTGCATTTACCAGGATAGCAGAGGCAGTAGGTCTTGTAAAAGTTGGTTGCTACTTTTTGATTGCATTGTTGGATTATGAACACCACCACCCCCCCCCCCCCCCCCCAAACAAAACACAAAAAAAAAAAAGAAGGTTTTATGGAAAAGGAAATGAAGAAAATTACTCACAAATTTGTTTTTGTTTTGTCCTTTCCGACAATAAATTTTTTTGAGTATTTTCTGTAATTTTCTTTTCTTTTTAGCTTATGTTATGATCTGTGCTCATGCTAACATGGAACATTAAAAGATTTATTTGAGCAGGACTAGACTAATTCTTAAGTATGTTAATTTTTTTTTTTTTTTTAATTGTGACAAATCAAAGAGTGACCAATATTGGTGAAAAGATTTATTTTACTATCATTTTCAGCAATCAATCGCAGCCTTTAGTTGGCATAGTAATAAGTTTACTTTTCATATAATTTTTACTAATGAGGTTGACAGTTTGAACTTTACCTATCATAATCTGCACCTTGTGATATATATATATATGTATTTATGTGTGTGTGTAGGTGTGTAGCTATTCTTAAAAAGATACGACATCTCGGACTTGATAAAGGTATAGTATTTTCAGATAAAAAGTATTTCCCGATAAAAGAGCGGGTGGGAGTTTTTAATGTTTCCTGGTAAGCCTAAGATAACCTATTTATCTATTTATTTTTATGAAAAAAAAAAAAACAAGAAAGAGAAAAGGTGAACCATCTTGGCCGCAGCTGATTGTAAGTAGCATGTATGTCTTTAATGTTTTGGTGAGCCTAAGATAACCTATTAATCTATTTATTTGTTAAGCTTTCATTCTTAAATAAAAATATATAATAATTCAAACAAAAAAATTAATCTAGAATTAAAAAACAAAAAATGTTTTAATGTTTCCCGGTTAAGCTCTTAACATGTGTTATTTACATTTGTTAAAATCAATTCAAGACAATCCAGTGATGAATGCAAGTTTGGGGGATTTGGGTTTGTTAGGGACACAGCTGATTGTAAGGAGCATGTATGTTTCTGACGCAAGATAGAAAAATGTGGCTTTTGACGGTTTTTTATTCCGTGACTCAAAATAACTTTATTTTTTGTAATTGAATTACATAAACAATTTACTTGCAATTGGTGATAAAATAAACAATTTACATAAACCATTACTTAAAGTCATTAAGTGATAAATTAAAAAAAAAAAAAAGTCACTTGGCAACCTCACCTGCGTTCTAGGTGTGGCTGTGGTTGGCTCAAGAAATTAAGAGAAATAGTTCAGTCTATTTTTATATATGATGAGATCATTGTTTAATTTGTTTTTATATTTTTAATTAAATTAATTATATTTTTATTAAATAAATAAAATTTATTATGTCACTTTGATAACATTTTCTCATTAAACCATAGAATCAGTCATGTGATATGTACATGACTTAATATTATATATCGAAAATGACCTTCAAGAAAAAAAAATCTCCAATTTGTTATTAAAAGTCTAGTTGTTATCAATTTATTTTTATATTTTATATCATTCTCCAATCTACCATTCTAGTAGATATTTCCATGCAAACTAATAATAATAATAATAATAATAATAAAAAAACTGCAATTTGAGTCCTAATATTTGATTTTTATTATGTTGGAGTGTCTAATATTTTATTCTATCTATTTGAGTGTCAAATAATTGTTTTTTTTTCTTGCTATTTGAGTTTCCTCCAACAAATGACTTTGAAAATATTGTCAAGGTTGTGATCAATTTGACACGTAATAGTCTCCAACTAACACATTAAAAAAAAAAACGACGACGACGAGCCTAACATATATTATTTTTGTATATTTTACTATTTTGAATTGTTTTTCTTTCTTTCTTTTTTTCAAATCCTAAGACCTGTTTTCTTTTATAATTTTCTTTTTTTTTATCTATAAATATTAGTGAGATTATTATTATTATTATTATTTAATCACGTCTTAGTTGATCTTGACAAGGTTAACATTTTCAAAGCTCAAGCGATCGAGAGAACTCAAACACCAAAAAAAAATAATAAAAAAAATAAAAATAAAAAATAAAAAATCTAAAGTTAATCAAATAGATAGAATAAAGGGGTAGGCACGAAAAAGGAATAAAAATTGCATGTTGGGCATCCAAATTGTAGTTTATTTTTCTAACAAAAATACCTTCAATTGAGAAACTTAAACCTCATCTAATTTATTAAAAGAAATTGAAAACAAATTGTCATGTGGTGTTAAAATTCAATCTTTTTCATAGTTATAATTATTTTTTAATAAATTATGTTAGGTTTGCGTTTCTCACCTGATGTTATTTTCATCATATTGGATGGAAATATCTAATAAAGGGGTAAATTGAAAAATAACACTATATTCAAAGAAAATTTGGGAAAATAATATTTTTAAAGGCATATTAGAGAATAGGATTAAAATATAAGGATAAGTTGGACTAATTCTCCTTTTACATTAGGGTCATTTTTTATATAATATTAAGTCATGTGCATATAATGTGACTAATTTCCTTTTGGTTTGAATATTCTCATGCACTTGTATGCATGTGTGTTCATGTATTTAATGTACGTGGATGTTGTGTTTTTGGTTAATATATATATATATATATATATATATATATATATATATGTGAAAGTTATGTTTTTGTTTGCATGAAACTAGTGTTTTATATGTGCATTAATATTGTGCTTTGTGTTACATTACTAAATGTTTAGCTTTGCATATTTGATTGTTAAATGTTAGAAATGTGTAAGTAACACAGGGACCTAATTGCAAGAACTAGGGACTTAATTGAAATAATTAAAAGATTAGTGACTAAATCGACTTAAGTGAACAAGTTAAGTGACTATAATTTTAAGTTGTCAACTTGAGGGATTAGAGTTACAAATTAATTAAATGACTCTACACATGTTATAATTTAAAATAAAACTTGGTTAGTAACTTGTATGCATGAATTGATTTAGGAAAATGTCTAAGCTTATGAATACTTAATGTTTAAGTATTAGAATTCCTATTAGAATTTCTTAATGAAATTGACAAATTAAACTTCCTAGAAATCCAAATATTCGGCCAAGTGAAGGAACTGAAGAGGGGATGATTTGTTAAGTTATTTAGTAACATTTTAACCTTAATACACTTAGAATATCTAGAGAAATATTTTTAAGATTCCATGAAGCTTCTTAGAGGCAAGAAGATTTCTATAAATAGGGGAGTGGATTACTAAGTGAGTTTTGAGCAATTTTAGGCTAAATTAACACCAAGACATAAAGAAAAACTGATTTGGTATAAAGAATACAACAAAGGCCGAAAGGTAGAAAGGACGAAAGAAGTAGAGTTTGGCCAAACAAGAAGAAAGGAAAACTTGAGAGTTTGGCCTAGAGTTTCATGGAGAAAAGGAAAAGAGATATTCCAAGCTTTTAAGTTATAATAAAGGCTAGCTTAAACTAAGTCATGCATAGTCACAACTACACCATAAGAGTTAAATTGTTATGTTATGTGATGATTGATATTAGGTGTTTTAAAATTGTTAGATTAAATGTTCAATTGAATTTGTGATGATAAGTTCATTGATGATTATGTTTAATGGTTGCTTCAATTGATGTAGTCTTAATCTTAAGGAATGAACATTAAGAAATTATTACATTCGGAGGTTTGATTGATGTTCAATAAAGAATTCAAAGGTGATGGTGTTGGTTGACATGTTCCGGCTAAGATCAAGATTTAGGTTACTTGATTTATTTTCATGTATTAGTGATGATTAAATGTTTATGAGGTTGTATAGACTTGAATTCATGTGTTTAATTGAGTGATTTATTCTTGCAATCATGTGAATTGATTGATTCGATATTGGGCAAGCCAATTGAGGAAATTCGGTTTTGTTTAATCTTTGGTGTCAATTGATTATGTTTTCTCATGGTTGTTGATAAATTGATTAGTTAAGGTATTGGTTGTTAATTATAGATTACATGATTAATTGAGGTTATTTGGTAAGTTTTTAGGTGTTAAATGATAGATAGAAATGCTTAGGAATCCTTGGTAAGATTTAGCTTTGTGTGAATTCATGTTAATTGAGTTGCCTGGTTGTGTTAAGTTTCGGTTAGGTTCCCAATTTCATGTTGTTTGGTTTATGTTTGTGTAATTATTAAATATGTGCATATAATTGTCATATATGTTCATGTTAATAGTTAATATGTTCATGTTCATGCATTTCATTGCATACATGTTCATATCATGAAAGTTTTTTCTCATGATTTCAAGAAAGGAAAATGTAAAGGTGCATGGTTTTCGAGGAAAATGGCTAGACACATAAAGGAGGGCCAAATACATACACATTTACTTGAGAGCTGAATATGTACACATAAAAATTTGACGGGATATGTCCAAAGAGAAAAAAGAAATGGATGTGTCTAGTGCTTTTTATGTTTTCATGAAAAAACGATTTTAGAAGAAGATTGAATATATACACATTTGACAAGATGCATTCGAAGAGGGAAATGAATTTTATAAAGCATGAAAAGGAAAGGTTTTTAATTGTATTTCATGCATGAACTCTACTTACTGTGCATAGCTCACCATTTTATCTTGTGGTGTAGGTGAGCAAAAGGATAAATAATGGCATATTTAGAAGAAGTATATTATAAATGTAGATTCAAAGTTAAAGACTTAAATTTCTTTATCTTTTTATTTATTAACACTT